ACAACTTGATGATCAAAAGCTAGTTTGCACCAAAACGCATCTAAATCTAAGGCACTGTATGTTTCTTCTTTTTGCCTTAAAAATTCTGCTATTTCTTTCTCTGAATGTCACATTTTCCCTTATAACCAATTAAAAAGACTCCTAGCAAATAATCGGCTAATGCAATTTGTTTGGCTAACTTATAAAACACTTGAAGAAGTCTTGACATGAAGAAGATTATATTGAATTTCCATGCAAATTTAAAAAGGGATAGCAATCAAAATAATTATATATGTTAACAATTTTAGTTGTGCTCTACTAATGAAGCCTAGATACTTGATTTTTGGTCCAACCAAAAATCATATATTGTCCTAATTTATAATATGCATTTTACCCAATTTGAAGTGTATAGGCGTTGGGAATGTTCAGATACATCAATTATTACGTTGTTGTGATGCTTGGATTCATATAGCTGACCTAACTTGTTTGGGTTGAGGCATATTTGTTGTTGTATGTTAATTAGAAAAAATACGAGACTTGGTGATATGATCATTCTCTCTCTCTCTCTCTCACACACACACACACACATCAGTTGGTTATATGAATTAGTGCATTGCTTGCAGGGCTGTGACCAGTCTTTGCTCAAGTCCAATACTATCAAATTGGAGCAGAACTTTCTGCGCAAATAGTGGTATATTTTTCTAATAATTTATTAAGCTTGGCTGGAACACTGATGCAAATGAAATTAGTCATGACATGCTTACACTGAATATAATATTGTTCAAATATGTAACTTGGTCTCTTGGTATTGTTCCTGCAGTTGATCATGGTCCCAACTCCCATCACATGTATTCTTTAGCACTTTTGAACTTATAAATTATCAGTTAGATATTCCTAAGTCAGTTGTACCTTCTCTTCTAAATTATTATTATCTTCACATAGTTTATTGAAGTTACCCTTTCTTTTCCTCTTTTTTGGGATTGCGGTCTTATATAGAATTATATTATAGATACTTAAAAGTGTGACAGGTATCTTTTGATTTCCTATTATTGTACCAAATGATTGGCTGTTAGTTGTGGTCCTTTGCAAATTTCTGTTTGGAAGTGGAAGAAGTATTTGCATTATCTACCTGGAGGATATAACTAGTTAGCTCAATTTCAAAAAAATATAGCTAGTTAGCAGTTTCAACTCCGTATAAAGTTCTGTATCATCTCTAGGATCAAGACTGCCATTATCATCAACATCGATGCCATCAAGAAGGGCCTGTCCATCATCTTCGCCGCATAGGAACTGCATGATCACTCCAATGTTGCCTTCGCATCCAAGGGTCACAGATGTCAATATGATTCTTTTCAATAAGTGGAAATCATTATTGTTTAAAGAATTTATGATAAGAAGCTAGTTCAATTAGTTTAATGACCCTATCTTAAAGCTTAGCATCTGGTGAAGTAGAAGAAATTAAGAATTAGGTGGAAATTGGCACTTCGTTTACAGTTTAAACAATGTTGGAATTCTTAATGTATCATGCAATAATGTATTGAAAGCTTCCATTTATATTTTAATTGTTCTTTCATTTTCTTTCTCCCTTTCTCTGCCATTCCTTTTCCCTTATTCTGTATTGCTACAGTTACTCACTATTTTTTCTTTTATTTGCCTGTCAATAACTGTAATGAAGGTGATACCGTTGACGCTGTTGTTCCATATATGGGTGAATCCATAAGTGATGGGACACTGGCCAAGTTCCTGAAGAGTATGTCCTTATTGATGTGGTCTCTGATCTATTTTATATACAGTAGTATTCATAGAGTCTCTGTACTTACTGTTTTTTCATGTTTCCTTCTATATGGGCAGATGTTGGTGACAGAGTAGAAATTGATGAGCCAATTGCTCAGATTGAAACGGATAAGGTACCTAGCTTCTAATTTTAGTTGATTTTGATCACATTATCTCAGGTCTCTCTGGAGATTAATGGCACTTATATTTGAATGATCTTTATTTGACAGGTAACCATTGATGTTACCAGTCCTGAAGCTGGTGTAATCCAAAAGGTAGAACATCTTTGGCACTGGAACTCTGCTTTACTCAACCTCCGACCACCTAGTTTATTACATTTTGTTTTTTGATCAACAACTTCTGAATCTGGTTTTGAATATCTGTAGTTTGTAGCCAAGGAAGGGGACACTGTCGAACCAGGCAATAAAGTTGCTATCATTTCAAAATCTGGTGAGGGTGTGGAACATGTTGTTCCATCTGAGAAGTCCTCTGAGAAAGTAGCTCCTCCAGCTGAGGATAAGAAAGAGGAAAAGGCAAAACCTCAAGTTGAGAAGACTCCCGTCAAGGAGAAGCCTAAGGGAAGTTCACCTCCACCCCCTAAACGCTCGCCTACAGAGCTCCAACTTCCTCCCAAAGAACGGGAAAGACGAGTGAGTCAATAGCTAATGCTGTTGTTATCTCATTGTCATGGCACTACTCGTTTATGTAACTTGGCACTTACTGTGTGTTATCTTCTATAATCTGTTTTGATGACAGGTTCCCATGACCAGGCTCAGAAAAAGAGTTGCCACACGTTTGAAAGATTCTCAGAACACATTTGCTTTGCTGACAACATTCAATGAAGTTGATATGTAAGTTTGGACTTTGATTTTGTATAAGACACTATCTTTTTGTGCTAATATTTCTGCACCTTATCATACGTTTAGAGAAACAGAAAATTGATCTAGGAATTGAAGGTTATAAACTTCAGTTGCCTTTTCCAATTTATTTTCCTAGAAGCAGATTGGTCTCTGTTCTGACCTAGGAGGAGTGTAGGCATTTATCATATGTGATGTTGTATTTTTTTGCATCTGTGTTGACCTTATGTTGTATTTCTTTTTTCATTGTTGCCCTATTCAGGACAAATTTGATGAAGCTCCGTTCTGATTACAAAGATGCCTTTGTTGAAAAGCATGGAGTGAAGTTAGGATTCATGTCTGGATTTGTGAAAGTACGGAGAGGACTACTTTTTGTTTGTTTTTACATATTCATTGTCAAATTCTGGCCTAAAATGCTTATATAAATTTCAGGCAGCAATTAGCGCACTCCAGAATCAGCCAATAGTTAATGCAGTTATCGATGGTGATGACATCATATATAGGGATTATATAGACATCAGTATCGCTGTTGGTACACCAAAGGTAAGCTAGCACTTTTTTTGCCTCAAAGTTTCAGATTAGCCAGTCTTGCATAATTCCTAGTCAGTCTCAATTTGTCCTTCAAACTCTCTTTTATATGGACTCTACTTTTTGAGTTTTTGGCAGTGTTTTCATAGATGTCGAAAGTAAAATGAGAACTGCAAGAGAGAGATTTTAGGCATGATATGAAGTATCCTTTTTTCTCCTTGCTCAGGGTCTTGTTGTTCCAGTTATCCGCAATGCTGAGCAGATGAATTTTGCTGAGATAGAAAAGACAATTAACACGCTTGCTAAGAAGGCAAATGATGGGAGCATATCTATTGATGAAATGGCTGGAGGGTCATTCACAATTTCAAATGGTGGAGTGTATGGAAGTCTTATCAGTACCCCTATCATAAATCCTCCCCAGGTATGTATCGTAGGAAGTGATTGCAATTACCTTATAGTTATAGAGACATCTCACCATCAAAAATTTGCTGCTTGATTTTGTAGTCTGCTATCTTGGGAATGCATTCAATAGTCAGTCGCCCAATGGTCGTTGGAGGCAATATTGTTCCTAGACCAATGATGTACATTGCTCTGACATACGATCATAGGCTGATCGATGGAAGAGAGGCAGTGTTCTTCTTGAGAAGAATTAAGGATGTGGTGGAAGATCCCCGTCGCTTGCTCCTTGATGTTTGAAGATTGGCAACAACATCTGGCTTTTGATTTTGATCCGTCCGGGGGTATACCTGAGTGTACAACTCAATCATAGAACCAGAATAAATGGCAATATCAGAGTTTTGTTGGCCTGAGGTGTTGCTTTGGTCCTCTGATTATTGCAGCCACAGCTGTATTTGAGATTTGCAGATAGAACCATAAAGATTTTGCGTTCCAAATATTAAACCAACTTGAACTTTCTTTGAATTGGCACACACTTGCATTAGCCTTTTGGCTATAGTATTTTCTTCTATATTGGAGTTCATACACGTTTGAATATTCATCATGTTGGTCCCATTATTTTAATACTGATTTAAATTGCTATCACCTGCTTTGTGTGTGTGGTGTGGATGGGGTTAGCATATGTTTTCCATTTTTGGGTTTCTCACCTGGTGTTCGGAGCTCCGAAGCAATCTCACCATACCACTATCCCATGTTGGTGCGTTCTTATTAAAGGGCATTTATGAGCCTTTCAATTTTTAAATGGGGATCTTTATTGCGATTTGTGATCTTACATAGATAATTGGGTCATTTACACTTTTGCTCCTTTTGTTGTGCTAGTCTTCAATTTTTGCTCCTTTTAAGGCAAATTTTTTTATGGGGTTTAAGTTTTTATTTTTTGCATCATAATATTTTTGAAAGCGTCTAGATTTTGAACCTGTTTTTAGTATTATTGATGTTCCAAATATGGGACTTCAATTAATGTTTGAATGGATCCAAGAAAGAAAATATGATTAATTCAAGTTCTTCTCCAAGCTTTAGCTTCTCCATATACATTTCCCTAAATGGACATGGAGCAACAAGAGGGAGACAATGGATTACAAAAATACATCCCACTTGTTTTTGGTCTTTCGATGATCTTGAATTTACGATCTTAGAGTTAAAGGTGAAGTGGTAACCATATGAATTCTGAACTCCCTTTTTATAATATGTGCAAATCCAACCAGCCCTTACAATTTAGAGTGAAATTAAGAGGAGGAAATTTATTATATTACCAATTGGAAACACAAAGTACATAACATTAAGCTAAGAAAGAAAAGAAGAAGTAGAAGCATGCATGAATAGTACTTAATGCATGCATCATGACTTGTACTCCATGCATTGGCTCGTGTTCATCCTATTCCAACTCCCCCATGCAAATTTATTGAATCAAATTCCACCACCGCCGAAACCTTCTCCGATACCAAATCCATAACCATTACCACCATTCTCTCCGCCTCCTCCGCCACCACCACCACCACCGTTGCCGCCATTACCGCCTAAACCAAATCCTTGGCCACTACCGTAGCCAAATCCTGCCCCATGTCCTCCATTACCACCATTCTCCCCGCCACCGCCACCTCCTCCGCCACCGCTCCTACCGTCAGAACCTAACCCCTGTCCACTACCGTAGCCGAACCCAATTCCTGCACCATGTCCTCCATTCTCTCCACCTCCACCGCCACCTCCACCACCACCGCCGCTACCGCCGTTTTCTG